AGGTTGGGCTCCGGGAACCAAACTCACGAACAGTTACACAAAACAATTGCTCAATAGTGGTTTTATGTGAAGCCATATCACGGTATCACTCCTTTCGAGCTGGCACATTTGACAGTCCATATTCTGACTCCGTCACCGCACCGCAATATATACGAGTAACGTTGAAAGTTAACCACCAGTCTTATACACAAGTGTAACTACCATTATCTAATGGGTTTTGGACAACCTTGGTAAGCCAATCAGTAATAGGAAAACGAGCAGATAGGTCATCTGTTGGAATGTTTCAACCGCCGCCCATGAAGGGCTGTAAGTTAGAAGTTACTTGCGCGTTACCAGCCATTGAGGTAGAATGACGTTCTTTTCTTGAAGGCCATATCGGTCCCAAAATACCGTAGGCAACAAGTTGTTCCACAGATTTATTCTTCTGTGCAAGAAGTTCCTGGAATATCCTACAGTTATGGAGTGGCAATTATCCAAGTAATGAGGATAGATGTTTTACAGCGTGGGATAATGGCAAAAAGGAGCGGCTGGTATAAGTCCGAATAATTACTAATAATAGTGATAAAAATATAAAAATAATAATTTAAGAAGCGATATTACCTTTTTTGCGCTACAAACATTTTTACCTGTGTCAAAACACTTATAGGTCACGGTTCAAAGGTATTCCTCCAAAATGATCGCTTGTCATCCGAAATATTGAGATAAATAAGATTTGGAAACAATTCTTGATAGAAAAGATACCGACAAAGACGAGTCACAAATCAATTTCTGTAAATAATACTATAGTAAGCGAAGCTGAGCAATACCAATTTGGAAGCAATTTCTTTTTTTATATAAATATTTTACAAACATTATTACCTACCCGGGTTTTAAATATAAAGTCCACTTCTTGGAAATTGGTTACCGTAGACTACAAAGCTTTGAATCACTAGGGAAATTACATATGCGTTGTTGATCCCATAAAAACAGTTTTCATTCTTTTTTTTCTGTAAGCATATGGGAAAACTATTGCATAGTGATTGAATTCGAGCCGTTCCTAAGCAAATATGGTACGACTTGACCCACCACCCGAACTAAGAAGAACATAATAAACTGTCATACCTCACACATGACCGTGTGATCACAAATTAATATGGTAAACAGACTACTGATAAATAAACTTATATATGACTTAATACATACACATTATACACACACCCATTATAAGTACACCCAGGCAGATGATCATGCTCATAGCACTTTTATTTGTGCAGTTAGTACAGTCAGAATCTCTTAACGCTTGACCAATTAATATCGCTTTAGTTGTTAGAGATTATTTATAAGCCAATCAAATTAACTTTTTACTCTAGACAGGTACTAGCTATCATATCAATGGTAATTAGTTTGCTCTACAAGTTGAAGTTTGGGCTCGAGATAACGATGTGCAAAACGGTTCGTCAATATGGATTGTTAATATTGATATCAAACTAATTTATACCTAGTTGCGTGTGTGCAAGGACTGTTATTTGATTATTACGTCCATGACTACGAAATAGTAAAATCTTATTAGGCAATTGTGAAATAAAAAAACTACACAATTGAATGGAAACAAAAGTATACAATTGATTAGTTATACTTTCTTGGAAGAAAAACCGATCGGACGGAGGACATCAAAGTAAAACTAAAACTAGAGTCACAAAAAGCTTTAACGAAATAGAACAATTTATGTTTCTTTACAAAACTTGTTAGTGAGGTTGCAACAATCTGTAAGCCTTCTAGGTATCCTTTGGCTATTTTCAAAAAGACAGTTTAGACGTTAACCACTGCGCACTAGTTTAAGTTTTCCTGTAGATTTTAGATGTAAGTATTGTAAGTTTAATCTGTGTATTTCATTATTTCTATCCTGTATATAATAACTTCTGAATACTTGAACTGATTTTTTTTCATTACTTAGATACTACGAGTATTATCTAAAGCAGGCTTAGTTTTAGTCAAAGAAAATCTGTACAACTTTTGTAAAGTTATGATCATCTAATTTTTTAAAGGATGTCATTTACTTCTACTTGTTTGATCGATCGACGTAAGATACGTGATGATTAGAATGATATCAAAATACCATGCTTATGTTCCTAAGCAGAAGCTAAAACATCTCCAACTACCACATCCAACTTAGAAGAGTTGTTTGTAAGTTACAACAGAGCTGTAACAGTAAGTGATTTGGCTATTTTTAGAAGGAGGATTCTCTTCTTAGTTTTAGTTTATGAGCTTAGATATTTTGAATTTATGCTTCCGTAAACAGTACTTGGCGAACACATACAAAAGAGAGCCGTTTTAATCGATCACATTTTTTCGACTAAAATTTTAGTCCTATTTATCTTATAAGAGCCAAACCAATTGCTGCCAACTTTAGGCACACTTTAGATAAAAAAATTAAAAGTAAATTGTCAGAAACTTTATATAACAAGGGAGGGCTATGATTGCCAAGAGATAGTGCTTCTACGGATAGATTGGGGACTATTATCATCATCATCATCTTCACTTATCACTTATCTATAAACCGACACACATATATTAACATAGCTTTATGACATGACGGTTATCGCCTCTTCATCACGCATATTTTATCTTGTGTTAAAAATCAACCTGCGTTATCATTGCTTCATCATACTCTGTGGTACTTAATGGTAACGAGCGTAAATATCTAGCGGTTAGTATCTTTAGCTATACAAAATAATAAAATACATTAATATTCATGAATGTTTTAATTACTTACCAGTAGCCCAAACAGGGTTAACGAGACGTTTTCGTTTATAATCTCCTTTAAAGCTTGTAAAAGGTTATATTATAACAGTTTATAGCTACTTTTTATAAATGCGTCGGTTACGCAAGCGTTGTCGTCCACATTGGATATTTTATACTTTTATATTTGGAAGTAGGTGAAAAGTCTTTGACTGATGTATGAATCGTATTTTATTTGGTGACAGATTAAGAAGACGGAGTGTCACCACCCCTATTCATCCCGTGGGTATAGCAAGAGCTGACTAAGGGAGCAAACTACGCATGACATCAGCACTGCAAAGCGAAAGGAAAACTTAACACAAACCCTTTACCGACCAGTTTGGCCAGCATGGTATAGTCAAAGCCAAATCATCCTTCCTCCTTAGGCCTATATTTAGCAGTGGACTATTAAAGGCTGTTGATGATGAATCAACCTTAGACTGGTGTACATCCGAGGAGCCAAAGAAATCACAATAGTATCAGTGCATCTTTGCAATTTAATACCTAAATTAAACACCTTTCATTTTCAATCAATCAATTCAATTTAACACGTCACCCCCAGGCCTGCGCCTATGGAGAACGGAGGTCATCCTGCGACCTCTGGCGCCCGAGTCGTCTGCGGTACCTGGCCCGGGCCTAGCGGGCCGAGAGAGTTCTAAACCTCTCCCGGTCCCGCTCCGCCGTCTCCTTCGCGAGCATAACTTGCTCGCAGAAGGAGACTGCAGAGTTCCACGCACTCTTGCTCCGCACGATACTCGCAATCAGGCTATCGAGCGAGAGAACTCCCACTCCGATGGCCGCCACGAGGTCTCGCTTCTGCTCAACCCACGCCGGGCACTCTGCCAGCGTGTGGAGTGCCGTGTCCATGGTCCGGCCATCGCAGTGATGGCACTCAGGCGTTGGCTCCTTGCGGATCAGACACAGGTGATCTCAACAAACAACCTTTCTCGGTGATCACCTGCGTCAGCCGTTATGAAAGGGTTCCGTGACGCCTCTCGAGCCAATTCTCCATAATGGATCTTACCGCCGCAATAACGGAGTACCCAACCTAAATTAAACACCTTAAAGTAAAGTTATGAACTAAAATGGTAAACTCGATGTCGTAGTTATACAACAGTTTTATTGCAATTGCATTGTAGACTACTACAATGTAATTGCAATAAACACTAGCAAAACTCATGACTTTTGTGGATTTTTTTAAGCTCAGCTGCTATGCTTAATGGTTAATAAAATTTAAGAATTGGCTCGAACATAGAGTTAAAACACACATATCAACGCTTTCCTAACCAAGTCCTTTGTATATTAGAAGATCTATCAGGCGGAGGCCTGCCTGGTCATACGATTTTCTTTTTGGTGTCGTAATTGATTTCGACAGTAAAATAACAAGTAACACTTACAAGAAATACAGTTACTCGAATTTTGACAACCTACAGACTTCAATCGCGTTTTCGAAGTATCCAGGGATCAACACAATAAATATCATCATCAACAGCCTTTAATAGTCCACTGCTGGACATAAGCCTCACCTTAGAAGGGAGGTTTATAAATATGCAAAGCTGAAATGAGGAATCTAGTTACAACGACACTTACCAGGTCCAATCGGATCTGTTATAAGTCCTTTAAACTAACTAACTTTTTGATATAAAAATATAACACGGCAAAGCTCTCCAGCTGCGCCTCATTTCACATAGAAATTCAATAACAAAAACGATCTTTTTTTCTTAAAAGAAAAAGTCAAATCGAAATTTACGACTTTTTTAGGTGGTTTAAATGAAAGTAACAAAAAACCGTCTTCCGATATTAAAAATTTATTATACATAAAACCAACCAATTTTAATACATTTCAAAACTACTTAACATCATTTTTATTTAAATTCTGAACGCAACAATATATCCTGATGATACAGTCTCAGATTAGTGTATTTACAACAATCTCATATTTACTTAACTGATGTACAAATAAAGTCTTTGAAAAAATAAACTATATTTACTCAACTAAAAACGGTAACAATTCTTTGTCAAAAGCCAAGTCTTCCCTTTCATTCCAAACACGTGTATATTTGATGTCAATATGGCACCTTAAAAAGTCTTCCAATAATCTCTTACAAAAAAGCGCCCCAGATTTTGTGAGTACAAAAGAATTCAACTTTTCTTTTTTTCCAGGTATCACAATGGAAATTGCGTCGGAACCCCAGTTCGACGCTTTCGTACTAAAAGTTAACACGACTTGAAAAATATGAAACATGAAAGAAGAACTCATTTTCGAAACAGATAACTTTACAATAGACCTAGCTGATTTGTCAACACCAATGTATCTAACTGATGTGTACGTGAATAGAACAATTGAAGTGAATGAAACGACAAACGATTTAGTGTACTCAAATCAATTTGAAGACGAACCTTTCATAGTATTTTTAGTGATACTAAAATGTCTCATAATGCTATTTATAATTTTAGCAGCGATTTTTGGAAACTTGCTAGTGATAGTGTCAGTGATGAGACACAGAAAACTAAGAGTGATTACGAACTATTTTGTGGTGTCACTGGCCCTGGCTGATATGTTGGTAGCGATTTGGGCAATGTGTTTTAACTTCAGTGTTGAACTTACGAACGGGGAATGGTTATTTGGTTACTTTATGTGTGATGTTTGGAACTCGTTAGACGTGTACTTTTCATCAGCGTCAATACTCCATTTGTGCTGCATCAGTGTTGATAGGTACTATGCAATTGTCCAGCCTTTGGATTATCCGTTGATAATGACGACGGCCAAGCTTGGGATAATGTTGGCCGTAGTATGGAGCTGTCCAGCTTTGGTCTCATTTTTACCAATCTTTATGGGTTGGTACACGACTGAAGCTCATCTGAACTTTAGGAAGAGATTCCCAAATGTATGCAGTTTTACTGTAAACAAAGTGTACGCTGTGGTGTCAAGTAGTGTTAGTTTTTGGATTCCTGGAGTCATCATGCTATACATGTACTACAGGATCTACATGGAAGCTGATCGTCAGGAAAGGATGTTGTACAGGTGAGAATAGTTATACCTTGAAAGTTTGCTTTTGCTTGGCACAAAGTATTTTACTTTGAACTTGCGAATAGGTAGTAGAAAATAATATACATATGTTATGCAGTTTTATCTATAATTAATAATCTCTAACTTTTAACTTTTGTGTTTCATGGTTTATAATATATAGTGTATATTTTATTTAGTAGGCCAAAACTTCTTTTCTAAGGAGAGGCCTATGTCCAGCAGTGGACTAGTATAGGCTGTTGATGTGACGTGATGTGATGATGATATTTTATTAATTTTATTCTTTTTGTACAATGGCGGACTTAATGACACAGGCATTTTCTCGTGGTGACGAAATGACGGGCTAGGTGCACTATCATCAGTGGACTTTGAAAGGCTATTGATGATGTTGATAATGGTGAGTCTGGTATTTGAGATATAATCCAATGTATAAGATTGCTATACTTCAAATATTACCCGTTTCGTAACCAGATACTCTGACATCCTTTTTAAAGGTAGGTAAGTAGTTATTCTAAGTTTAGAACTTTCTCACCGAAAATTGGATTTAACAACTTTAGAAGGGTTATCCGAAACTTTGTTATTAGGTGAGGTGACCCCTTTTAAAAGACAAACGATTCGCTTTATGTTTTGGGATAACTTTACAAATCTCCTTACAATACTGAATTTCAAATATTATATACTTATATACATATATAATAAACATGTATATATATTATATCAAGAGGCGACACATATAACCATTCAGAGACACGATTATCGTGATTGAACTGGATGATAGGTGACCATTGGTATACGATAACTTTGGAGAAGGCTTACAGACTAATAATAATTTATCACACTGGAGTACAACTAAATCATGCAAAATATTTATATATGTGTATATGTATACGTATAGGTACACAATAAAACATATTGTTAGAAAAGTACAAGCATTAACAGACACACAAAGAAAAAATCGTTGTTACTGAATAAAAAACACAACATTGAAAAAAAGATAATACGAGTACTATCAACTAAATAGTGTAATAGTAAAACCAATTTAATAATAATAAATGAGAATCGTTTTATGTAACAATACCGTCTACATATACGTTATTTATTATAGTTTTGGCATCGCATATTAACACATATATTTATTAGGAATACAGAGTGTCACCCGCCCTATATACAACCCGTGGGTGTTTAAAAAGCCAACTAAGGGTGAAAACTACGCAAAACAACAGATTTATCAGACATGAAAATGATTTATTTTTAAGAGTTTTTATATCTGTTATTATGATTGATTGTTGTGTGGTGACGGATTAAGAATACAGAGTGTCACCACTCCTGTACATTCCGTGGGTGTCGTAAGAGCCGACTAAGGGTGAAAACTACGCAGGACAACAACACTTCAAAAAGAAGGAAAACTTGTCGGAAACCCTATACCAACTCGTCTGGCCAACGTGGTATAGTAGGCCAAAACCTCCTTTCTAAGCAGATACCTATGTCTAGCAGTGAACTTTTAAAGGCTGTTGCTGATGATGATGATGATGATTATGATTGTTACTTCTTCTTATGATTGTTAATTAATTATATGATTATATTGGTCATCCAAAATAAATATAATGAAGTACTTTTATTATCTTTTGTTGACTTTTGAGTTGCAGGTATCCATGGGCGGCGGTAGTTGCTTACCATCACGTGACCCATCTGCTCGTTTGCCCCATTATACTGTAAAAAAAAAAAAAAAAAACTAAATATCTGGAAAGTGCTAATATATCAAATCATCACATCAACGGCCGTTACTAGTCTACTGCTGGACACAGGCTTCTCTTCAGGAGGTTTTGGTTTTTATACTTACTAAACCTACTAAAAAACACATAAGTTTATTTATATAAAATACTTTTTTGACGTTAACTTTAGTTGTTATTTCGTTAGTTGTAGAATCATATTTACAGAACTTGAAAGTAATTTTCATTAATCTAAATATAGAATATAAATGTAATTTGTGTACATAACTGGCTCAAGGTTTTAGTAGGGAATTGTTATATTGAATTTGTGTATTATTTTATTTTCATTTTCATTCAAACATAAGAACATAGTATTAGATTTATAAGACTTCCATCTCCTTACTAACGTCCTTTCTAACGATGCATGGTAGAATTAATTCTTCAGAAACCAACTCATTAGAAAATATATTATACAAGATCAACAATCTCTGTTAAAGCCAAGCGGTTCTATGCTGATTGAGCAAGGAATTGTCTGTAATCTAGAATGTATGCATTTATACCGATTCAAGAGCAAAATAAAAGAGTGATTTTCTCAAAGGTTGATTGATAGTAAAAGTGAAAAGAAAAAATGTAGTAGAAGTGAATTGATTAATTTCCATTTATATTCCATATCGGATGCTCATTTGACGATTCTAAAAGAAGAAGAATTGGATCCGCAGTAATATATTTTTTACTTGAAGTTGAAGTTTTTTGACTTGAAGATATTAACACCGAGGATTTCGATATTTTAAAACATGTTTTCTTTAGTCTCACTTATAACTCTAGAGTAATCTTGAAAGTTTATTTTAACCTAATCTACCTTTAAATTGTTGAATTAAAACCTTATATGTATATGTTACTACCTTTTGCTCGCGGCTCTGCCCGCGTGTATGTCGGCTATCGCAGTAAAGAGGTAACCTATGTCGCTGATAATGAAGTCTTCCATTGGTGAAAGAACTTTTAAAACCAGGTTAGTGGTTTAGGCGTGAAAGCTTAACAAACACACAAACTCACTTTCACATTTAAAATATTTATTTATTTATTATATAATAAGTAGTGATTTAGATTTTGATGACAGTATTATAATTGAGGCCTCGAGTTTGAGTTAATTTGAACCATTTTGTTTGACGAATAATTTCAGCTACATCCGTTCTCTCTGATCGATGTCACTAGTAGTTCAAAAAATAAAGAAATGTAATTCTTTTTCTAATTCTTCTCTCTTCTTTTATCACCTTAGAACAGGTGCCCGGTTAAGGAAAATTTACGAGCTGTCACAACCATTATTTTTTAATGTCACCCACCTCTTCCAGCGAAATGGAATATTGAATAAATTAAATGGGCCGTTGATTATAATAAAATAACAGCAAACGAATACTTAATTTTATAATTGAAGCAGTAAATTAATTTTAAATTCATTCAATAACTTAACAAGATTGAGAGTAAGTGTATACAAAATTTGTAAATTGATTAATTTCCATTTAATATTCAAAGGTCTATTTCATTTCTTTCTGTTCGTTTCTTTTATTTTTTATAAAGATGTTTTCTTAAAATTGATTTTGTAGTCAGTATTTAAATTTATAAATCTGCATTCTCTATCGTATATATCATAGAGGGTGCTCCGAGGAATCGTTCGGACTAATACCAGCTGCAACTTTCCGTCATAGTTCCACACGGAAAGATTTTCATCCTCACCGCTTGGACAATTGGCACTCCATTGCTGTGTGTTTTTGAAGTCACTTTCTATCTCGCACAACCAATATATGGAACTAGTCTTCGTCTGTGGTAATTCCGGATCGATACGAGCTTCAAACCTTTAAGAAAAGAGAGTAGCTCCTTCCTCAAAGGCCGGCAACGCGCTTGTGACTCCTGAGTTGCAGGCGTTCGTGGCCGATGGTAGTTGCTTTCCATCAGGTGTTAATCTGTCAGGTGTCTGTCCGTTTGTAGAAGCTCGAACCAAATTTAAAAAAATGAAAATTTAAATATTTAAACTATATTACGTTATTTTAAATATGTTAAATTAACTTTCGCCTAAGGCCTACTCAGTGTGTGGGTTTAAAGTGCGACCACTCAATTTGAACAATGAAACTAACTTTACTACCTTAGTAGTAATAATGAAATAGTAGGACTAAGTGCTTTTGGTTAGAGTTAAATTTAAATATTAATTATAATATTAATTAAGTTCAGTGAGTGGTTTCTGCTTTAAATTTTTTTAAATATATAATACGATGCCATCAGATTTTAAAAATGAAAATAATATAAGTTTATTTAATGTTATATGCTCTGCTTAATTTGAAACTAGATGGCGTCGTGTGTTTGATGTCCGAAAATATTATTATTATTTTTTTCAGTAAAAAAATACCTAGAAGATAACAATCTGTAGAGTGAGGTAAATAATGTATATCTGACATCTTTTTTTTACATACATCAGTATAAATAATTTTGACAAATTAATTTGACATTTGTAGTTGTTTCTTTTTTGTATTATTTAAATTTCGAATTATATTATTACTTAGAACAGGCAAGGCACAACCAACAACAAACAAGGCACAAAGGAATTCTTTGTCTTTTTTTATTATATATTATAATTATTATTGTAATTTTTTGCATGCTGTAACATTTAGCTTGCAAAAAATTACAATAATAATATGCAGTTTAATATGGTGAAACTCGCTGTTTCTGTTCCACCATTGTTTACTGTATAACCCATAAAAGCAAATAAAATTGAATTTAAATATTTTGTACTATTAATTTATTCATATAGCAGAGCAGAGCATGGCAGAGCCACCTCGAGACCCAGCCGCCAGATTCGCTCAACGACTTGGGCAACCCCGGCCGTGGCACACGACGGCGACACCATCCAAGAAGGCACCACGAAGCACCCAGTCGTAGCCGATGTTCCACAAGAGTGGCCCTAACACTGACCCCTGCGGAACACCGCACGACATTTCACGCCTACCGAGACCGGTCCTACTGGGGTAGACGACGGCTCTCTCCGACAAATATGCCCCGACTATGCGGCGGAGGTAGAGAGGTACTTCGTGATACACGAGCGCCTCCCTGATGCAGCTCCAGGGCAGAGTGTTGAACGCCTTGGCGATGTCCAAGGACACCGCCAACACCACTTCGCCCCGGGAAACTTCTTCCTCCGCCAGAGCCTTCACGCGCATGATCGCATCCACGGTGGAGCGCCCCTGTCGGAAACCGTACTGGTTGTCCGCCAGATCCGGCCCCACCATCACGAGATGCTTGACGA